TATCTGACATTGACAGAAAACGCTAAACCTAACCCTAATGCAAAAACTTTATCCCTAGGACTGGGGAGAGAGCTCAGTGGTCTAAGCACTTGCCTGAGGCGTGAGTTTGATCCCTGGTATCCCATGCCATGTGGGCTCATGAACCCTGGGCACGCTGTGCCCCCCAAAACAGACGCAGTGGTGCATGCCTCGAATACCAGCGCTGGGGAGGCGATGACAGAAGGGTCACTTCAAGTCTGAGCTGTGTAGCCAGACCCTATATTGAAAAAAAAAACAAAAATCCTTATCTCTAACCCCTAAAAAAACACTTAACACCACCCAAAACTCTACCCTAACACTAACCCTATCCCTACCCATGGCCCTGACCTAACACAAATCCCAACCAGAACACTTAAACCTAATCCTAACACATTAAACCCTAACATTTAGATCCCTGAACTTTGACCCTAAGGCATAACCCTGCCTCCTAGCTTAACTTTGACCATGACATCAAACTCTAACCCTACTTCTAACCATAATCCTAACAGTAACCTAGCCCAAACCCTTAACTCTAACCCTGATTCTAGAACACTGCTCTTAAGCATGAATTCTAACCCTCTAACATAATCCTAACTTCACCCCTAAACCTAAATCCAAGCCTAACCCCAATCAATTTGATCCTCATCCACAACTTTAATCCCAATTCCAACCCCTTAAACTAATTTAACCCCAAGCCCTATACCCAAACCATAACCTTAACTCTAATCCTTAACCCTAACCCCAACTCCTAATGCTTAATCCTAACCTCTTTCTTAACCCACATTTACTCTCTTGTTGGCTTCAACTCCTAATCTCTAACCTTAGAAATTTTTTTTCATTTCTAAAAACTACTCAGTCCTATATTCATGTTAGCCAAACTCTTGCCTATGAAACAGCTTGTCAACCTGCCTGCACAAATCTGTCTTGAAAAGAAAAAGAGAAGAAAAAACACCGAGTGATCCTCCTTCCCATTGTGGATCTCGTCTTTTAAGTTTTGAATCTTGGGTGTGGTTTTTTTTTTTTTTTTTTTGCAGAATCAGGGATCAAACTCAGGCCCTGGTGCTTGCCAGGGGAGTGCTTATTCTACTAAGCCATCTCCCCGGCCCCTCGTCTTTTAAGTTTTGAGATACAGTCAATTGGCCTCAATTGGTGTCTCTTAAGGTTGTCACCTCTCACCGGCCAACAAAACTGTTTCCGAAGCAAGTTGTGACTTTCGTTTTTTCTTTTTTAGTTTCAGTATCAAGTTTAGGGGAAACCCATCACTCTTGGCACGGGCTCCCCGGACCCACGCGGGCGCGCTGGCCTTCCTTTACCAAGAACTTCTAACGCAGCTCAGCAGGGCCGGCCTGAGCTTTCCCGCCCACACGACGCGGCGCGGTCCTTCCCAGCGTCCGTCGCCTGGACTGTGTCTAACCGGCAACACCCGCGCACTCAGTCTTCACCGGCTCAGCTCTCTGTGCGCAGAAGCAGCACGCGCGAGGGCGCGCCGTGCGCGCGGGGCTCCGCCTCACCGTGGCCCGTTCCTCGAGGGACCCGAGCCCGGTCCAGGCACCCGCATCCCCCGACCGCCCTCGGCCGGTCCCACGGCTCCAGGCCACGTGCCGACCCCCGCCCCCGCCGCGCCGCTGCGCAGGAGACCCGCGGCCAGCGGTCCGAGCCGGCGGCGCCGCGAGGCTTCCTCTCGCTCCACCTAGCAAGCGTACACATCCGCCCTGCGCTCGGGTAAGGGCTTCCCGCTTCCGCCTACTCGGCCAGCGCCACGCCCCTCACCGACCACGACTTCCGGCGTGGCGCGCGACTTCCGCCTTCCGGCCCGTTTCCTGGCAACGCGCCCCACGCCCGCCTCCTGGGCCGACGCGACTTCCGCTTCCGAGCCGTCATGGCTGTCGCGGGGCCCGCGCCGGTGGAGCTGGGCTTTGCCGAGGCGGCGCCGGCGTGGCGGCTGCGCAGCGAGCAGTTCCCCAGCAAGGTGGGCGGGCGGCCGGCGTGGCTG